TTACAGATATCTACAAACCGATGTCTAAATTTACAAGGAAAGGGAAAAGAAAAAGAATAATCAAATAATTCTGTAAAAGAACCAAGTTGGAGGAGTTACAACACCTGATTTAAAGACTTACCATAAAGCTACACCAATCAAAACAATGTGGTATTGGTAAAAGGATGGACACATAAATCAATGAAACAAAACAGAATTTAAAAATAAACTCACACAAAGACGGCCAAGTGATTTTTTTTTCTTTTAACAAAGGTGCAAAGGAAATTCAACAGACAAAGGGTAGTCTTTCTAACAGTAGTGTTAGACCCAGTGGATATTCAGATGCAAAAAAAAAAAAAAAAAAATTAACCTCTACCTCTACTACACCACACACTTTATATACACATTAACTCAAAATGCATTATAGACCTAAATGTAAAACCTAAAACTATGAAACCCTTAAACAAAAATATTGTTGTGAGCTTGGTCTTAGTCACGACACCTAAAGCACAATCCATAAAGTTGACAGACTGGACTTCATTAAAACTAAAAAAAATTTTTTTTTTTTTTTTAATGAAAAAGACACTATTTAAGAGAATGAAAAGACACAGCTGGGAGGACAAATTACATGCAAATCACATATCTGACAGAGGACATGTTTCTAGAACATATAAAACATTCTCTGAATTCAACAATAAGAAAACAACCTAATAAAAACTGGGCACAAGATTTGAATAGACACTTTACCAAAGAAGATAAATGATGTTCAATGGCACTCGTCATTGGGGAAATGCAAATTAGACTGGTTAAAATTAGGAAAAATGGACATAGTAAGTACAGGTAAGGATGTGGAATGACTGATACTCTCACAGATTACTGGTGAGGATTCCAAAATGGTTCAGCTACTTTGGAAAACAGTCTGGCAATTTCTCAAGCGTTAAACATATACCTACAAATGACCCAGTCACTCTACTCCTATTTATCTAACAGAAATAAAAACTTATGTTCACACAAAAACTTGAAAGCAAACATTTGTAGCAGGTTTATTCATAATTGCCAAAAACTGGGAACCATAAATCTCAAATGCATGATGCAAAATGAAAGAAGCCAGACTCAAAAGACTATACACTGCATGCTTCCATTTACAAAGATGTTTGAGAGAAGGTAAAGTTATGGGGACAAAGAACAGTCAGTTGTTGCTAGGGCTAGGACTAGGGGGAAGGGGTGAAAATAGGAGGGCAGTGCAAGGGAATTTTGTGAATGACAGAATTGTTCTGTATTGTGAATATAGTGGTGATTGCAAGAATGTAGTCATGGTTATCAAAACCCATGGAAATGTACACCAAAAAGAGTGAATTTACTGTACGTAAATTTTTAAAAATGCAACCTAAACTTTCCTTTAGAAATTATGAGTATAAGCCAGGTGTGCTGGCATGCTGCTCAGAAGGCTGAGGCAGGAGGATCACTTGAACCAGGAGATTGAGGTTATAGTAAGCCATGATCACACCACTGCACTCCAGCCTGGGCAATGAACAAGACTACATTTCAAAGAAACATAATTGATAAAAAGAAGAGTATTATGGACCCACATATCAAAAAAAAAAAAAGTTACTTAGAGGCATTTGAATAGCACAATTGGTCTAGACACCTGTATATGAAGAATTTCAAATTTTGCACTTACTAGGAACAGAGATTCAATACTACATACACCTAAGTGATGCAGAAATAGTTTCATGCCTTGGAAAGAAGACAATCCACCTCCTAGACAGAAGAGGCCCAGTAAAGTCAACACAGACCTGGGGCAGAGTGAATTCCCCATTATAAGTGAGTGAATTATACAAAGTTTATTACCTAATCACTGGTTGGAAATTAATGATTATTTTATTGAAAGCTTATCCTTATGAAAATTCTGACATAGTTGATTTATGTTCAAACTATGACTTCAGAAGTTACTTTATGTTTGATAAGATATTTCCATGCCAGGTTCCAGAGAATTAGTGAGAAGGGGGGTAGAGGGACTTTCATTTCTCAATTTTCAGTTAATCTTACTTAGTTTTCCAATAAGTATGTGAATATAACAGTATGGCAGCAGGGAAAACCATATTCATTCAATATTATTTCCACTAAGAGCAAAATATCTACACAAATAAAAAAGTTCACTGCACATTTTTCTTGGATCATTGACCAAGTCCACAGAAATGTCATGGCATCATCAGTTTGGCATGCCTGTTCTTCTCCTCCAGTAGTGAAGTGAGAAGGGAGTTTTCATATCATAATGATCTGTGACTGTCACAGGCAGGAGGGACACCAGTGAGCAGGGGAAATAGAGCCCTTCTGTGACTCCTGGCTGCCTCGGCACAAAGCCCGGGCCATGAATCAAAGCTCGACTTCTTTCACACTGAAGGGCTATTGCTTTCTTGCTTTTCTATGACATGCCCCTGGCTGCATGCCAGAACCTTTTTTTTTTTTTTGAGTTGGAGTCTCACTCTGTCGCCCAGACTGGAGTGCAGTGGCCACTCCCGGCCACCACAGCCTCGACCTGCTGGGCTCCGGCGATCCTTCCGCCTCAGCCTTCCAAGCAGCCGGAATTACAGACATGCGCTACCAAGCCCGGCTGATTTTTTTTATTTATTGTAGAGATGAGGTCTCGCTGCCCAGGCGGGTCTCAAACCTGCGGGCTCAGGCAATCCACTCACCTGAGCCTCCCATAGGCGTGGGATTACAGGCTGAGCCATTGAGCCCGGCAGGTTTTTTTTTTGTTTTTTTAAAAACAAACCTTAGCATGGAAGGAGAACCGTGACTCTATGATGCTTTAAAATAACACTGAATTATTTATTTCAGAATAAATAATGGTTTAAAACCTAAAAGATACGAGAAATTCTAACAAGGCTGAAATAGTCCATTAGTTCACTTATTTAAACACTATGGAGCACACATTATGCTAACCAAGTTGGTAAAGGAAAGTATAAAATTCAAGGAAATCAGCAAAATTTCAAAATACAGAGAAAGGTAGAGCTGACATTTTCATGGAAAGGAACAGACATCTTGGAAAAGAAAGTTGTGATCTGAAATCTGAAGCAACAAGGATGACAAAAAGGAGGGACACAACACACACCTCTAGGCAGAAGGCAGCAGTAGTCCACGCCAAGCTGGCTCTCACTCTACCACAGCGAGGACCCATTTGGGCGCCACACACAGGACTGTGAGGACACGCTTATCTACCTTGCAGTGCAGCCCTACTCTCAGTTCTGCTGTGACAATTTGAAATTTGTGAAAAGTTATAAAAAAAAATCAAAATCAAAACTTCTTTAAAAACAAAACTTTCCATCTCCATAAAAAAAACTTCAGAGAAAAATAAACATGAAACAGAGTAAAATACCAAGTAAAGTTTTAAGGAGAATAACTTACTTATTGTAAGGATACTGATTCTAGCTAAAAATTAGTTGGTCCATGCCTCACAGCATAAACAGAGCAAGCCATGGGATCAGATTCAAATACTTTTATAGCAATACAGATGCGAACCTGTTCGGTGTCTCTGGATTTCTGTTTCTTCAGTGTACAAGATGAAGGTGAAAATGTCTCTCTGTGAAGACAGGCGAGAGACGTGTGGGAAGTGTCCGGGCACACAAGGGACTTGGCATGTGTGACACACTTGACTGCAGTGCTGAAATGTCAATTGACACTGCTGTCTTGCTGGTGAAGACCCTTGGTCTCTCCCTAAACTATTTATCTCGATTGCTGTCAAGTAGAATTAAACCGCCTCCAGTATTCCCGAGTTCCTTCTTCACACTCTGCGATTCTTCATTCTAGGTCAGGTTAGCCTCTTCACATTACCTTCATTTCTCTCAGAGGCGTCTCTGGCTCTGACCTTTTAAGACTAACTCTTGCCTGCAATTCACTCTTTACTGTATTTACTAGTTCATTTATCTGTAAGTTTTCTAGTTATATACTAAAGAGCCTTCTACCCTTCAGTAGAGTTAGCTTCTTGGTTTTTTTTTGAGTTGGAGTCTCACTTTGTCGCCCAGACTGGAATGCAGTGGCATGCTCCAGGCCCACCTCGACCTGCTGGGCTCCAGCGATCCTTCTGCTTCAGCCTTACAAGTAGCTAGAACTACAGGTATGCGCTACCACACCTGGCTAATTTTGATTTATTGTAGAGACAAGACCTCGCCAAGGTGGCTCTTGAACCTGCGGGCTCAGGTAATCCACTCGCCTCAGCCTCCCAAATTGCTGGAATTACAGGCTGAGCCACTGAGCCAGGCCAAGTCAGCTTCTTTACAAGCTTTATTCTAAGACACACATGAGTCTTTTGAGTACCTGTATACAAACTGGGTTCTACAGAAGGTTGGAGATTAGAAACAAAGACAAAATAATTTCCAGACACACAAAAAATCCATTGTACTTGCACACTTACAAGGTGCTCCAGTAACACCATGGATTACTAACCAAAAAGTTTTGGGGGAGGAGAAAGTGGGGGCGAAGTGGGACATTTATAATAAATAAGAAAAGAGAGAGGGTAATAACTAATGATAAATCATTCAGAAGAAAACCGGGTACCTTCCTTTCTTAACCCTTAGAAGATCTGTGGCTTCTCCATCTGATGTTTATATCTCATGAAATCACATCACTGATCTGCATAACCAGTTTACATTATTTTTTTTATTTTAGGCTATCTGGATCATTTCTATTTTCTCAGATATCATGTTTCAATTTATAATGCACATATTTCTTACACAGAAAAGAGTATAGCAATAAAGACAACAACTGCTGGAATTCAACATATATATGCAAAAGCTACGACAGCAAGTTTTATTAAACATTCTTGTTAGATATTCAGGCAGCCTCCAGATAAAGGTACACTAGTCCATGATTCTCTCTCCATGGCTGTGTTTAACTGCTGTTGCCTCACGCATGCATCCTGCTGCTCTACTGGATGGGAAGTGCCATCCCTGACTTACGGAGGATCATGTGACTGGACTCCTTCTACTTGTCATTCTGAGTTCAGCATGATACTCACTCACCTGTGACTTGTTTGTCTGGAAGAGAAGGAATTGGAATAGCTGACCCAAACTTAACCAGGAGACGCTCATATAACCAGTCAAAGTGCTTATACCTGTGGTTTACAGATCGGTTAGTGTTCTACAAAACAAGGGAAAGAGAAGAAGAGGTTACCACCAATGCCACCTATACAAAATGAAGAAGGAGTAAGTTGCATCCATGATTCTGTTTTTGGTAATTCGGATGCTTACCGTAGGCGTTAGCTGATATTCAATGTAGCTCTTCAGACCGTACATTTTGGAGCCTTTTCTGGGATCTGCCACCACACAGTCAAATGTAGAGGTAGGATAAACCCACATCGGGCCATAATCTCCAACCTATATGATGTTCCAGGAAGAGTTAATTTTGTTACATGGAAAAATAGCAAATACAACTGACGGAAACTGCAAATAATTCTTTTCGGGAGGAAAAGTCCTTTGGAGTGTCACCCTTGTTCCTCTTTGATAAGTTCCATAAATGGTCTCCGTTCCTGTCAGATATAGTTAAAGAACACGCTTGCAGTGCAAGTCATTCTGCTCTCCATATGGGCAGCTCAGCTCATGGAGGGGAGACTCTGGCTTCTCTGCCCTCTGGGGGAATGCTGGTTAGAACACAATGTTTCTTCCCCTAGTCTAGTTATCTCTAGCTATATGTGAAGAAGGGCTAGTTTTAAAACATTTCTAGTCTATCACAGACTGACAGTTTTGTGAAATATAAAATTATACATTTTGCTTTTTCAACAATGCCAAACTGCCATCAAGTTTTCTAAACATTCTCATTTCTGTATTTACAGCAGATTAGCAATGGGCAGTTTTCAGACAGGTGACTGGTTCACAGATCATACTTTGAGTAGCATTGTTCTAGCTCACAGAAATGGCTAACAGATTGGGCAGAGCCTGACAGTCACTGTTTCATTACTAGTAGGGGATTCTGTGTCTCAAAAGCAAGAACCAGGCTAGCATTTTTCTCTGAGGACTGCCTGTACATAAGCACAGTGGGCTGGCTTACTTCTCGTCCCCAGGTAGTACACCCACCTGGGCAAGCTCGCCTAAGAAGGTAGGCCTCTTTTCTTTTTCACTGGTCTTCTTTTCTATCTGTGACTAGGGGTCCAAAGTTCAAAAATTCAGGTGAGGCTGCTAAGGCTCCCACTAGATTCCTGGGGTTTTAACTGGCAGTGGGAAGGGAGGGAGGGGAACCAACTAAGTTCTACAAAAGGGTATAGAAAACCAGTGTGTAAGTTTTGAGTCAGTGGGTCATTTCTGCTAGGCACTGCTAAATGATAACAGGTCTGCCATCCCAAACCTGGTTGTTTTCCTCTTATTTAAAACTGCACTCATGGCCACGGAAGTCAGAGGAACTTGGCCCTTGACTCATGTGAGGCTCCTGGAATCCCTCCCTGCATTGCCAGTAGCCTCAAGTTGATTCTGGATCATTTGTTTCAAAAACTTTGACCACAGTGATAGATTCCAGAGATCCAGACTGCAGGACAGCAGTTCTTATCAAAGAACATTTAAGAGCAGTAGGAGTCCTTATTATATTAAGAATATGTTACCTATCTACTTAGAATGAAATGGAAAAATAACTTAATTACAATACAATCCAGGAACAAGGTAAAAAAACACATGAGGTCTTGAAACATTATTCCTAGGAAAGAGATTCACTCAGAAATTCAGGGGGAATGAAAATAATCTGTAAAACAGGTTTTATTCTTGCAGTTAAAGTATAGTAAGAAAGTAAAACAAAAAAAGAGATAAACCATGCAGATGGAGCTGAAGTTAACTCTGTTTAGGCTGAGATCTCAGAGGCAAGGCCAGACACATTTAAAGGTGGGAGAGGAAAAAAGTAGTTTGGGGTATGAAAGTCCACAGACCATCAGGTCAGAAGGTGGCCAAGGACAAGAGTAGTTTAAAAATCGACTAAAAAGATCTCTGAGGATCCAGAAAACTCTCTGAAAGCTGCAGAGGAGGACTTTAGAAGGTGACCTTAGGGAACTTCCCTCAGTGACTGCGACCAAGAGAAGCAACTCTGATGGGCTAGGACCCAATATCCACAGGGATACATTTTATTAGTGGGGATATCACTAATTACTACACATATAAAGCAAAGAACCAGGTCTCTGCTTTTTCTGGGCTTCCTATAGACCTGATGGCTTTCCTTAGCTCCCTGCCTACTTGGTCCATGGGTCCATTTCTATCTAAAACTTGCAGGACAATGAAAAGACTGGGACCTTTTTGGTCTGTTCCACAGTCATGCTGGTAACAAAGTCCTCTTTAAGAATCTGAGAGACAGGGCCATGGGATCTTAATTCTGTGGAGCTTTAAATTCAATGAAGGTCAGATGCGGTGGCTCAAGCCTGCAATCCCAGCACTTTGAGGGGCCAAAGTGAGAGAAGTGCCTGAGCCCAGGGGTTCAAGACCAGCCTGGGCAACTTAGTGAGCCCTCGTCTCCACAAGAAAATCAAAAGAGTAGCGGGTGTTGTAGTGCACGCCTGTAGTTCTGGCTACTTGGAAGGCTGAGGAGGAAGGATCGCCTGAGCCCAGCACGTTGACGCTGGGGTGGCCATAAGCCTGTCACTACACTCCAGCCTGGGCGACAGAGTGAGGCTTCAACTAAAAAAAATAGGTCAGGCTCGGTGGCTCAGCCTACAATCCCAGCACTTTGGGAGGCTGAGGCGAGTGGATTGCCTGAACCTGCGGATTCAAGGCCAGCCCGGGCAACTTGGCGAGACCGCGTCTCTACAATAAATCAAAAATGGTAGTGTGTGCCTGTAGTTCTGGCTACTTGGAACGCTGAGGCGGAAGGATTGGCTAGAACCCAGCAGGTTGATGCTGGGGTGGCCATGAGTGTGCCACTGCACTCAAGCCTGGGCGAGAGAGTGAAACTCCAACTCAAAAAATAAAAATAAAATAAAATAAATTCAATGAAAAGAAGAATGGTACATATTAGTATTAGTACTTTTTTATGGTACATGTTCAGTATTTTTTTTTAAAACCGTCTGGAGAAAATAGAAAAAAGTTAAAATAATCTTGAACTACTCTGAAGATAATTACCCCAAATTCGCTTTGAGGGAAAAAGGATAAAAGGCGCTCTTGGTTACAGCCCTTCGTTCTGGAGGCTCCCAGGATTTCAAGATATTCAAAGCTGTGGATACAAGTAACTAAAGAATCCAGTATCACTCCTGCAATTTTACCAAGTCTCCCAGGACCCAATGATGATAGAATAAGACCTTGTTTTCTTATCCTTGTTTGAGTTCATGATGATTACACTCAAAGCTTCCCCCGTCCCCAATCTTACAGTTAGAGTTAAGTCATTGTAGTCAGAGGATAGTCACAGTTTTCTTTCCAGATGTTCATTTGGGAATATACAGCTAAATGTCGCCTACATAGAAAATCTCTAGCAATTAAAATTTGGAATGAAACCAAAGGGCCTGTGGCATGTTATATAATAATCAAGTTATTCTAAGACTGATATTCTTAATCATGCCATTCACCCCCAGCTTTTATTTGGTAGTTCCTCACCTTGACCTGACAGCTGGTTTAGTAAAAGAAACATTAATTATGACCAACATATTGGAAAAGGTTCCTTATTCTGTTAATACGTATGTCACTTTGCCAGGGAAGAAACATAAACATTTAAAATGAGTTTATTAGCTAAACATACAGGGTTGGTAGAAAAACATATATAAAATATACATCAAGATACTTTAGAAAAAATTATTAAAATAAAATGCATTATGAATGTTGTTTGTTCAATACTAAGAGCTTGAAAGATAAAGAATATCTAAACAATAACAGGCATCAATTTGTATTAATTACCTTTAGTACTGCTACAATAGTAACATATACTATCAGTTATTTGAGGCATTAAATATATTTAAAAATACTTTCCAAAAGACTAATAATCCTCTTAGCTTTAAGGTATAGTATTATGAAAGAGCTTAATTAAAAAACAAAGCAAACAAAAATGAACAAACTTACAATAATGGAAATTTTCTCTTTGGGTTTTGCTAGTTGCTTGGCCAACAAATACTGTTCCATGCCAGGTTTTGCAAATCCAGGAAATCTAATCATGAAGATAAATGTTCGTGAATCTTATGTCTTGCTTTAAAAGAACTCTACAACTCTCATCCACATTTACTTAATGCACCAGTTTTAACCTTGTTCAGTCCTTCAGATGTACTAGCACTAGGAAACTGTGGTAAATAAAACCGAATGTAATCAGATTGTTCAATGGCCAATTAGTCATTTAATTAAGCTTGATATGGTGAAGAGAACAGTTTGACTCCAGAAGGTGTGATGTTTATGGGTACTCTATTTGCTTAACTGGGTCTGAAACATTCCATCACCCCATAAAGGGTAAAGGGTAGACTTGAAAAATGTCTCTCAGTTCCCAGGGGCAGTGAGTAGCCAGCACACAAATCTGAGTTGGCCATAGGGGTAAAAGTCACATCCTGGCATTTCTACATCCAATTTAAAGTTGCCTTTCAACATACTCGGCTCCAGAGGTCACAGTTATTCCTAAGAAGCTGCTACTGGTCATCAGCATTTGTGCCAGTTTATTTTGGAGTTGTTGTCAGAAACAATTCATGACACAACGGAAAACAAGTCTCCTTAGTAAAGATACCCAAAGCATAATAAATACATCTGGCTACAGGGGTGGGGATTGGAGAGAGCAGGGGAATGTTTTAATACTATAAACCATAATAAACAGACTTGACTGACTACTTCCAGAAATCAAATCTACCCCCAAAGGGCATTTCTAAAATTAGATGACAGCTAGAACAAACGTACAGCCATCCAAAGCGCCACTCTTAAAAAAGACAAAATTAATTTGGGTTTTAGAATTTAAAAAAAAAGAGAAAGATATCTAAAATGGGAAAAGGAATCTTATTTCTGAGGGAAGAAGGGATCCAGCACATTCAGGGTAGGATGACCATAGACAGGAATCTAATTACTTCTAATTTCATTCATATACCAAGCCAAAGGCCAACATGATGTTCTCCGTACTGTCTCCCTCACTCCTGACTGACTTCCCTCCAGTCCCCTTTCCCTAGACTTTTCTTAAACTATAGCTCATACGAGAGAGCAGAAGAGTCTTAGAGCTGGATGGCTAAGGGCCTGAATTCCCAATTCAGCACTTAGGGGGTCTGAGGCACCCAATCTCCTTGTGGGAAGAATGGGATATAGATGACCTACCATCTAAGATGATAAGGAAATCAACTGAAAAGATTTTATGTAAAGAGCCTAGCACACAGCCAATACATTTACATTACTGGTAGTTATGTCATCTTGAAAGTACTTCCTCTGCAGGCAGAGCTTCCTCGGCAATCCAAGTCTATTTTTGCCATACAATTTATCACACATAATTGCCACTATCCATTTACACATTACAGCAGACGAGATGCACCTTAGAGAAAAGACTTGAATTTTCAGGACCTGGAGGAGCTCTGGGAGCATACCACATGCTTAATGAATTAATGGACGAAACTGAAACATTTTTATTAAAGAGCCTACACTTCTGTGGAGATTACTTATCATGACAACTCCTTGACCAAACTGTAAGCTTCTGAGTCAAGAAATAACATTTTACTTTTTGAGTATTCTTAGGGACCATAACTCTAGGGCCAACTATGCACACCCAGTTAGTATTCACTGAACAGTAATACAATTTATTTATTATTTAAGCATTGCCAAGATGAATTATTATAATGCTCAAGCATATTTAAATTTCTGATCTCCTTTTCTAGTATAAGGTTTATGTTTCATGAATAGAACACAGCTGTCATAGAAAATGAATTACTTGCTGGAAAAGTGTTACTTAAATTTTTTTTTTACAAATGCTAAAGTGTAAGTGATTTATTTATACATTAGTCTAGTCAAATAAAAGTACACAGGATTTTTAATTGTTCCCAGCACTACAGAGAGACAGAGAAGCCTCAGAGGACTGCTCTAATTTGGCTTCAACCTGGAATGACATTTTAGAGCAGAAAGAATCCTTAAAGCCAACCTGTTTGCTTTAGAGTTGAGGAAACTGAGGCTCAAACAGGTTATCAAACTTGCCTGAGGCCATACGGAAGTCAGAGAGAGCAAATGTGGAGCAGAGGAGAGCACAGGAAACTAGAGTTAGGGACCCGCACGATCAGACCTTCACTCAGCAGCTGTCACAACATGGCTACTCATTGTTCTCAGCCTCTGCTTCCCTATTTTCAAAACAGGACTAAGAGTCTATTGCATGTAATTTTTTTTTTTGAGTCAGGGTCTCACTCTGTCACCCAGGCTGGAGTGCAATGGCACAATCATGGCTCAGCACAGGCTGGATCTCCTGGGTTCAGGAAATCCTTCCACCTCTGCATTTCGAATACCTGGGGACTATAGGAATGCACCACCACACACGGCTAATTACAAAAAATTTTTTTAATGTAGAGATAAGGTTTCACTATGTTGCCCAGGCTGATCTCGAATTCCTGGGTTCAAGCACTCCTCCTGCCTCAGTCTTCCAAAGTGCTGGGATTACAGGTGTGAGCCACTGTGCCCAGCCATAAGTGGGTTTTAAATATACTTGAGGTTTAAAGAACTGACAGTAATACACAACACTACTGACTATACTGATAAGTTCATGTTTGACACTATGAAACAAGACCCAGGCGACTAAGACACAGAATGATTTTATTAAGCATGAAACTGAGCATGAAGAGACATAATGGAAAGGAGGTACACAAAGTGTCAAAAGGCAATTTATTTAATCACCTGAAGCTATTTAAGTAACTTTGAAGAGCTTGTAGGACTTATTAAACTAGATCTAGGCCTAGATATGGATGGCTAATACGTGTCAAATGCTATATTTCCGGCTTTTCCAAACATAGATTGACATTCTTTGGTATCTGCTTTGAATCATGGACTTGGACTATTGAGAAAAGTACCAGTAATTTCAGAAAATAAACTATTTTAAACATAACTGCTGGAAGAAGAGGATGTGAAGGTTCTCATGGAAGTCATGAGCCATGCCTAATTCACACTACACCGGTGCAAATGACAGGCTTACCTGGGACTCTCTACCAAAGACTCCTATAGTGCTCACCAATAGTTGCTTTCCCACAGGCTTTCCTGTTAATTTGTATGTCTACAAGTACTATTAAATACTTTTTTTTAAACCTAAGAAAAATCTAAGTGAAAGAAAAGATCTTAAACACATGAGGTGCCGTAACTGAGAACATATGCTTTGGAGACCAGGGCACTGACTCCTGACAGGGATACCTGCCCCTGTTGTGACTTGGGCGTTGCTGACCTCTCTGGGCATCGGCTGTGCCCATAATAAAACAAGGGTTGTATGTATCACAAAGGGATACCAGGGTCACTTGAGAGTGCATACAAACCACACTGCACAGTACCTGGCACATAATTAGTGATTAATAAAATAGTAAAACATTCCAAAGAGAGTTATTATTATTAGTATTCTTATTTTTAGCTTTCCTGTGACACTAACAACAAAACCTTAATATGTCATATAGCAGATAAAGGTAAAAGTAACAAAAACTATTTGGCAAATCAGTAAATAGAATAAATATTTCACTTATTAATTTTGTAAAAACATTCTTTAAAAAAAACCTCCAAGCTAAGATGCAGATTAAAATGACCGAATCACACCCAAAACTTAGGAGATTACTGAAAAGAGCAAAATCCAACTGCCTCTTGTATTTTATAGGCACTTTCACCCATAGGCCCTGGCTCTCCCCCTCCCTTTAAACTTACTTGTTAAGTGGCAGCTTCATGGAAGAGGCACCAGCACGGCTGTTTCCTCGCTGGGCACCGCCTGCTTCAGCTGACTCTGAATCCTTGAAGTAAGGAGCCGAGGACTTGGGGTCATCCCAGTCTTCATCCCAGTCATCATCATCACCAGTTGCTAGAAGTGGAAACAGAAGATCATCAGAAAAATAAAATAAAAGACCCAAATAAAAATGAAATTACTTAATTTTCTGATAATGACTACCTACTGGGCTAATCAATTTTTAAAAATGGAGAAAAGGGTGTGATGTAGGATATGATACAGATGTGAAGAGTATAGGCTTTGTGGTCAGTTTTAAGGCTTGAATTACAGATTCTGTCTTTTAGTGCAAAAGGCAAATTAGAAACAACTAAAAGGTTGTCAGATTAACTAATTTTGACAAAGGCACTAAGAAGACACAATGGGGAAAGGACAGTCTCTTTAATAAATGGTGCCAGGAAAACAAGATATCCACATTCCAAAGAATAAAACTGGATCCTGATCTTATGCCTTACACAAAAATCAACTCAAAATAGAGACTTAAATATAAGACTTAAAACCGTAAAACCCCTGGAAGAAAACATGGGAAAAGCTCCTTGACACTTGATTTTCTGAATGTAACACCAAAAGTGCAGGCAACAAAGGCAAAGATAACAAGTGGGCGACCTAAAACTAAAATAGCATCTCTGAAGCAAAGGAAACAATCAACAAAATGAAAAGGCAACGTACAGACTGGGAGAAAATATTTGTGAACCATATGTCTACTAAGGTGTTAATATCCACAATACACAAGGGACTCACACAACTCAGTAACAGAAAACCAAATAACCTGATTAAAAAAAAAGCACCCAAATTGATATTTTCCCAAAGAAGACCAAAAAAAAAAAAAAAAAAAAGGCCAAGAGGCATATAGAAAAGGAACTCGACAGCATTAATCATTAGGGAAATGCAAATCAAAACCATAATGAAATAGCACTTCATACCTCTCAGGATGGCTATTATCAAAAAGTTAAGAGGAAGTATAGGTAAAAGTATGCCCCAGCAAGCCCCCTTCCAAGTATGTACCTCAAAGAAATGGAAGCAGAAACTCATAGAGATAAGCTGCGTGCCCATTTTCAAAGCAGCATTACTTGTAACAGCCAAGATATGGAATCAACCTAAGCGTCTGTTGATGGATGAATGAATAAAGAAACTGTGGTATACATATACAATACTATCCAGCCTTCAAAAAAACCAGATACTGCCACTTGTAACCACATGGATGAACCTGGACATTATGTTAAGTGAAGTAAGCCAGACAGAAAGAAAATACCAAATGCTCTCATTCAAATGTTGAATTTTTAAAAATTTGACCCTATAGAAGCAGAAAATAGAATGGCAGTTACCAGTGGCAGGGAGGGGTAAAACTGGGGAGCTGCAGGTCAAAGGGCACAAGGCTGTTATATACAAGTTATGCAGCATTAATAAGACTGGGATCTAATGTACCGCTTGAGGACTACCTATTCTATACTGGCCACCTGCTAAGAGAGTAGATGCTCGATGCTCTCACCACAGGCTCACCAAGGTATAGCCGTGTGAGGCAATGGATATGCTAGGAGCTTGGCTGTGTTCATCATTTCACCACACGTGTGTGTTATCACAGCATCATACTGCATATCTTAAATACAGACACTTTTTTTAAAAAAAGCGTTATCAGTCCAAATAACTTCTGATAAACGCAGACTATGTATTATGTGGCATACAAGAGAAGGCCGCCTGGAGGCCTATACACTGACGATTCTAGTCTTATAAAATTACAAATAAGCAAAACAAATACCCCTTAAATCAAGAAGCCTGGGGAGGATGAGAGAGATAGTAGATCTTTAAACGCAACTGTTTAATACTAGTAGCCAAGGTGAGAGAAAGGCAATGCAGAACAGAATGGCTTGGGTGTGGGAGAAAACAGGAAAAGAGAAAAAAATGGAAGAGAAGTAATTAAGCTGCCTCAGTAGGCTACTATTCTGACAAGACAATGATTTAATGTCAGATGAGGCACTGCCAGCTCTGCTTCACCTCTCTCCTCCCCCTCTCATGGCCTGAGGGGTCCTAAGAGTGCCACTACGGAGAAGGTGAGACAGATGCCAAAACGGAAAGAACAGAACAGAAGGATCTAGACCAACTTACTGCAGAACTAGATGCCAGCAGCCTCATTTTCAACGTTTCCACCTGGCCCACAACCCCTGGTCCTGCTGATGGGCCAGATTCCCCTACGGCAACTGGCCTTGACCCAGCACCTGTGCCCTTTCCTGGTTCTGGATGTGTCATTTAGAACAGATGTTCAATTCTTGGCCTGATGTGCTCACCAAGGAGACAGGATCCAGGGGTCGTAAAAAACAATGGGCAGATCTCTATCCTTTTATTTAATTTCAGAATAGACATAAACATCCTTTCTTAATTCCTGAATTGTTTCCCCTTCTGTAAACTCCGCTCCTGCCTCAGTATTTCTATTAATAGCCCATGAGTCAAACAGGTAGTTAAAGAAAAGATAAAACAATGGATACTGAGGCCACAAGCCCGCAGGATGAGCCCATTCCATCCATGTACATAAGTTTTTGGTTCAAGACTCTAAAACAAATGTGTTAGTTGCTGAGATGTTAAAATGAAAAGGTGAAAAAGAACCAAGACTTCTTGTCTCTGGAGATGTGGAGAAGGGAACACACCTCGGCTTCCTGCAAACACAGCAATCTGATCTGCTAGATGCAGGGCTGCCCCCTTCAGAGAGGAGGCAACTTCCGGCTTCCGAGCCTCCACAGGTCACTGCTCTTTGACCCTACCAGCCTGGCCCCTTCAATTTATGATGCCTTGACAACTGAGACTGAACTGAAGATCATAAATGACTAACTACCATTGGAACCAGGTTTGCTATTCATAAGGGCAGCTGTGAACAGTTACTCCGAATAAAATCTATTTTCAATTCAATGACCTAGTGTGACACTGTGATATAATAAGAAATATACATTTGGTCTCTGCCCCTAGTTCCTGGCACAGAGCTCCTAAGATCCTTGGAATTTCCTGAGTGTTAGGAGTACTATGGGCACCCCTTGTTCTGATATTTGGTATGACAGAGAGCTCCTAACCATAGGAATTGCCTGGGTGGTAGGGGTGTTTTCTGTTCTGATGAGGTGGCCTTGGTGGGCTCCTGGATGGGGTTGGTCACCAGAAAGCTCAAGCCGGGATTAGAAGCTTGGAGTGTTCAGTTCCTGCTGCATCCCTCAGGAAGGGAAGAGGGGCTGGACATGGAGTTAATAGTTGACCATGTCTATGTGATGAAGCCACCATAAAAACCCCTGAGCTGCAGGGTCTGGAGAGCTTCTGAGCTGGTGAACATGTGGAGGTGCCTGGAGAGGGCATGGAAGCACCAGACCCTTCCCCATGCCTTGCTATTCATCTGCATCCTTTAAATTATCCTTTGTAGTAAACCACTGAATGTACATCAACTGTTGCTCTAAGTTCTGTGAGTGCCTCTAGTAAATGAATGAACCCGAGGAACCCCCCTGGATCTGACTCCAGGTAGATGGTATCAGGATTGAGTTAAATTGTAGGATATCCAGCTGGCATACATTAGAGCAGAGCTCCCCAACTCCCAGGCCACAGACTGGTTGTTATGAACTGGGTCGCACAACAGGAGGTGAGCAGAGATGAGTGAAGTTTCATCTGTATTTATAGTCACTCCCCATCGCTTGCATTACTTCCTGAGATCCACTTTCTGTCAGGTCAGCACTGAAAGCCTGCTTCCATTTCCAACATCCTATCTTTGTGAAGCAGGGCTTTCTGCAGTGACAGCACCCAAAATAAGATTAGAGAAGACTGGACACAAGCAACACATTTTGGGTGTCACTGTCTCCTATCACCCCTAGATGGGACCATCTAGCAGCAGGAAAACAAGCTCAGGGCTCCCACTGATTCTGCATTATGATGAGTTTTATAATTATTTCATTATACATTACAGTGTAGTAATAATTGAAATAAAGTATACAAGAAACTTGCTTGAATCATCCCCAAACCACCCCCAACCCTGGTCCATGGAAAAACTGTCTTCCATGAAACATGTCCCTGATGTCCAAAAGGTTGCAGACTGCAGTATTACAGAACTGTTTGGTGTGTGGGATATCCCCCGCCCCCATGTTTTGGTCACAGCAGTGTTCTGTGTTGTGTCAAGTATGGGAGCAGCAGAAATAATCAGGTCTTTCCTGTCTCTTACACGCAGACACGGTGGCGGCAGAGTGGGACCTTGCAGCCCTTTCCTCACCTGGTCCTTGGTAGGCCTGGGGGTGGCCGAAGGCAGCGTCCCAGTTGTTGGGAGTGTTTCTCTGGGCGCCAGCCCCTTCTGGCTTGGCTGACCAGCCGTCGGAGCCCTCCCAGTTCCCAGATTTAGAGGCACTCCAGGCTGACCAGGGGTCACTGCCACTGCTGACCTGTTGAGAGGGGTAAAAAGGAGGAAGCACCTTGTGACTTCCGGAAACCATGACTCAATTCAGCAATAAAGTGACAAGTGGATACAATAGGAGCAATGAAAAAAAAAAAAATCAGTAGAAATTCATTCAAACCAATTTTAAATCTAAATAATATTTTCATTTCAAACATGTAGGAAACACAAAAAAGCAGCAACAACCTAATTTTACTAATATTAACATTTTGCCATATTTGCTTAGGAACTTTCAAAATAGTAACACAGAAACTATTCAACACAGCTAAAGCCCTCTCCTCTCTTTCTCCACAGAGGTCACCACTGGTTTCCTAAACCTGTATTCATTTCCATGTGTGTTTTCATATTTCTACTGCATATGTATACATCCACAAATAACAACTTTTCTATTTTTAAGTTGACCTAAACAATGTCATACTGTATGTATCTCTGCAAGTTTTTTTTCCCCACTCAACATTATGTTTTTGAGATTATACATGCTGATAATGAGGACTTACTTCATTCACTGTAACTGCTTTAGAGCAATCTGTTGTATTTTTAAGTATGTTTTTATATTTATTAGAAAAAGTAACATGTGCACAGTAAAAAAACATTCAAGCAGAATAACACCTGATGAATATGTATGATACTGGCCCTATGAGGCATAAAACTTAGTCTGTCCTTCCTGTCTTCGAAGAGGAAGGACACTTCGGCTACAGACTGTCCCTTCCTGGACTGCAATTCCTTATTGCCAATAAAGCTCTCCTTTCTACTGTTTAACCATCCTGGTGGTCTTTTGGACCACACATGTAGTCTAAATGATCGATGTGAAATTCCCAAAAGAAAAATTGCTGGGCTAAGGAGACTGCGTTTGGAACTGATGGGTTTTGTCAGACTGCTTTTCGAAGAGACTGTAGTGACATTCCCACAGTCCCAACTACTGATATACTGAGGAGTTTTGTCTTGCATAAAAGGGGCCTTTTGTACTCAAAAATTATATCTAAAATATTCCCCTCCATTATTCCTTTGAGCAATTTTATAGTTTATTAACATTGTAGATAAGTTTGGGAGCAGGAAATTCGCGGCACCCATCTCAAGGAGTATTTCAGTAGGGAATGTGTGTGGTTGTCTCTCAGCCCCGCCCATTCCCACCATTGAGACAAACACAGTTTTTTTGTTAGCTTGATTTTTTTTTTGCATTTAAATCTTGGATCGGTCTGGAACCTAGTCAGTATAAAAAAGAATATAGAAATCCTGCTGAATTTTTTCTTTTGCCAGTTTGTGGCCCTAAACCATTTAATGAACAATTCATCTTTCAGCCAGGATTTGAAATGTCACCTTTATCATATATTGGATTTGGGTTAGTTCTGGACTCTCTATTGTTGCTTAGTGATCTAGTACATATCTACTTTGATGGAAAAACCACTAAGACGTTAGCATAACATCTCAAAGCTGTTTATGTTTACATACGAACCTTAGCATAAGGCAAGGCACAGTGGCTCATGCTTGTAATCCCAGCACTTAGGGGAAATCGAGGTGGGCAGATTGAGCCAAGGAGTTTGAAACCAGCCTGGGCAATATAGCAAAACCTCGTCTCTACAAAACATTAAAAAATCAGCTGAGTGTGGTAGCTACTGGGGATGCTGAGGTAGAAGGACTGCCTAAGCCCAGAAGGTTAAGGTTGCCATGAGCTGTGATCATTGTAATCATGCCACTGCACCCCAGCTTGGGTGACGAGGAAGAAAGGAAGAAAGGAAGGAGTAAGGAAGGAAGTTAGTTTATCATTAGAATGTCAAGTTTAAAAATGTGTTGATTTTCATTGGAATTGCCTTAAATTTGATGATAAATTCAGAGAAAATTAATTGTGACCTTCCCCTACAATTTCAGTATTAAATCTGTTTAAGAACATTAAATAATAAATTCTCCCCTTTACTTGAGTCTTTTTTTTCCCATATACACGAAACAGTGTTGGTTAAAAAGAAAAAAAAGAAAGAGGCTGGGTGCAGTGGCTCACACCTGCAATCTCAGAGCTTTGGGAGCCTGAGGTGTGCCAGGACTCTGCAACCAGCCTGGGCAGCACAGTGAGATTCCATTTCTATAAAAAAATAAAATAAAAAAATTAGCCTGGTGTGGTGTTATATGCCTGAAGTCCCAACTACTTAGAAGGCTGAGGAGGGAGGATCACTTGAGCCCAGGAGTTTGAGGTTACAGAGAGATATGATCGTGCCACTGCACTCTAGCCTAGGCAACAGAGTGAGACCGTGTCTCTAAAATAAATAAAGAGAGAGGGGAAAAAAAGAGGGATTTGCAAGAAAATTACCCATACTGTCTAATATAGCCCTGTAATGTTTTAGAGCATGCCTAGTGGCTTGTCTGTTTGACTCTTCATCAACTGACAGATGGGGCAGACAGCTGGGCCATGAGCCAGATGCATCAAAACTAGAGTATCTGCTTTACGCATGGAAGCACATATCATTCTAACACCCCACATGTCTCTAAGGGAAAACACAAAGTTACTTGTGATTTTACTCTAAGTCAAACACTAAGAGCAGAAAGATGCTGCATTCACAAGACCAAGACGTCTCAAACACACAGCGTACAAGGTGACACTTGGCCTCAGTGTGGACTCTCAGGTTACCCCAGTGGACATTGGAAATGACGGCGATGGTTCTAAGGGCCTGACAATCACACTTAAGAGAAGCCCTTCCTTTCACAGTTTTAAGGGATGGAGTTTTATTCAGCAAGTCATACTCTGTATCCTCCAAGCTCTAAATAATGAAGTTTTGTTTTTCAAATAAAAATTTCAAAAAGTACCCAAATGTAGGATACTAAGATGATAACACGTGCAGACAATCATTTCTGTAGTAGATTCAGCATGGTTTCCATAAACTACTGACTGTGATATGGTAGAACAGTAGGGCCACAGTAAGGAGCACAGGCGCTAGGGCTGGAATTCTCATTCTACCTCATTCTAACTGCATAACCTTGAGCTGGAGTTTGGAGGTAGGCAGCTTGCATCTGATTCAGGACACTGCTAGAAATCTAAGTGAAGTAAACCAGAAAGGAACTTGTGGCTGTGAACTTGAACAGCAGGAAGAGTGAAAGTTCAGCAGGGCCTTCGAGAAGGCCATAAGTCTCAGCAAACCAGCCAGGAAGGGTTTCTATCAAGATGATGGAAAAAGCCAGAGGCGAACTATTCACACCAAGTGTCCTAAAAAAATTAAAATCCATCCAATAAGAACAAAAACAAATAAAGTAATTGTTCTTTGAAAATTACTTTGTTTATAATTTATAGGCTTGCAATTATTATTTGGTCATGTATATGATCCTAGCTCGCTTCCTAGGTTATAAAATCCTTGTGGGTTTTATGTCTATCTTTTTGGGTTTTTTCCTGAAATATTCCCTCTATTCTGTTTCAACCAGATTCCTGCTGATAACATATTTTTTAAAACCCGACCAACAGGAAAGCTTTCCTCCAGCTTCTGCAATGGAACCTGTGCTCATTGGCTCTCAGATGACCTTCACCACCTGAAGGGCCTCCCTCTCGTCTCGGTAACTAGGAAGCTGCTCGAGTCTGTCTCACTTATCTCCCTGAACCTACTCTGCCTGTACTTCGGTCTCTGACTTCCTGGTTTTCGATTCCCAAAGCCCTTCCATCTCTTAACCACATGGACACTTGGTCACACTGGCGCCCATGCTGCTCCCTGGCCAAGGTTTCCGCCTGTGGTGCCCTTCTCTTCCTTCCTCCGCCTTTCCCTCCGCTCCCTTTCTGCTGAGCACCGTCTTCACCCTCTCTCTTCCCACCCTTTATTTTGTGAAGCACCTCAGGACTCTGTCAACCACATGGTTAAACTCCTTGCATCAAAACTCACTGCCTATGAAATCAACTCCAACTTTCTTGTAGATCAATCAGGAATGTCTGCAACATGGGTCTCAACTTCTCCTTCCATCACGTTCCCCATTCTCATCACCTACCACCAACCCTCACTCTGAAGCTTCCAACTTCATACATTTCCCAAACTTTTCTACATCCCTGCCATTTTTCACAGTGTACTGAACTCTATTTGCATGTCTCATCTTCCTAAATTTGGCAAAGTCCTACTAACATCTAAAGGGCTCTGGCCTTCTCAAGCCTGTTGTGACATTCAATTACATCCTTCTACTTTCTTCCAACGTCAGTCTTCTGTTATGGTCAATTGGTCAGTCCCACCAGTGAGTTGGGGCACTGCTCTGTCTTAGAGTACATTTTCCCCAAACAAGTCTCAAAATGCCTTGATAAAGTGGCAAGGACTCAATTATTTTAAATGTGATGTTCCTGATAACTTGTATGAAATATATACTATTCTTTCTCCAACATCTAACCTTTATAACATGACCATTGTTTCACAAAGGAGGACAGATGTACTTTATGTATTGACTTCAGTCTTCTAAGAAAATAATCGCTGTAGTTGATAACGGAATAAGTGACTTTCAGCATGTGACCACAGAAAAAAGTGATTTTTAGTATGTGACATATACTCTTAAAATAACATTTTCCAAGTTATGAAAGTGGTATCAGCTCACTATAGAACAGTTGGAAAATACAGACGGCACAGACAGACAGAGGAATGGATAGATGTGTGAGAAAGCAAGAAACGTAAAATGGTAATGGTGGGGCCGGGCTCAGTGGCTCAGCGGTTCAGCCTGTAATTCCAGCACTTTGGGAGGTCGAGGTGAGTGGATTGCCTGAGCCCACAGGTTTGAGATCAGCCTAAACAACTTGGCGAGATCTCGTTTCTATAATAAATAAAAAAATCAGCAGGGCATGGCAGCACACGCCTGTAGTTCCAGCTACTTAGGAGGCTGAGGTGGAAAGATCGCTGGAGCCCAGCAGGTCGACGCTGGAGTGACTGTGAGTGTGCCACTGCACTCCAGCCTGAGCAACAGAGTGAGACTTCAACTCAAAATAAATAAATAAATAAAAATAAGTTAATGGTAAAATCCAGACCACTGACTATTCTCTATGAAATTCATTTAACTTTTCTGTGTTTGAACTTTTAACAAAATGGAAAATTCAACAAGCAAAATCTGTATATATAATCACTGTGTCATCTAGGTACTTGACACTGAGAGGGGGACTGTGTCCATCAGGGTAACCTGTCATTTGCTGCCTACGAACATGGGATCTGGTACGTGGTAAACACTTTATAAGTGAAGTATTTGTTAAGTGAATATACTGCCAGAGCACGCATATGTGGATCTCTGTGAAGACACATTTCAATCTGGGTAATCACCATAACTAGCTGATTATGTCCAACTCTCTTCCTAACCCCCGCCTCAACTAAACCAGATACTCCTTAAGGGACAGGAGCAATATACTAACAAATTTGCTGATTTAACATTCGAAATTTAAAAGTTATCCTATCCTCATAAGACAAACAGTTAAATACATTTACACTAGCTTCATATTGGAAGACTTATTAGAACATATCCACTCAAAGGATTTATAGCATTTAGCTAAGCTTCTTCAGAAAGCAGCCTGAACTTATGCCTGACTGTAGAGCCTGAAGGACTCCAGAATGAACTGAGTGTGGCTGTGACAGGGTAGGGGGGTAGACATGCACACAACACCTGTAGGGTAGAACAACCATAGGAAAGCGGCACAAACATACAGAATGGGACAAAGAGTGGCAAGAAGAATCCTAGTCCACTGGGTGGATTTCAAATCCCTTTATGAAACTGTGGAAATTTGACTCAAGTAAATTTCACATTGGGGTAGTGTCTGTCTATCTGGATTTGAATCCTAGCTTTGCCACTTATAGCTGTATGAACTTGGGCAATGTACCTCACACCTCTCTTACTTTCCACACTTATAAAATGGTTATAACAATATTACCTTCCGAATAGGGGTTTTGTAAGGATTAAACGACATAATGTATATAAAACATCTAACACAATACCTGGCACAGAGTGGTATTCAGTAGAGGTTATCTTACTACATGGGGACTCATCTAAAATATAAAGAAAAGGATGAAGATTAGCAGTCCTTTCAGTAAATCTCCATCTGAGTAGTATATCTATTAGTTTATGCTACACAGGAAAAGATCAGACAGTTATATGTCCAAATGATTTCAACGCAAGGACATGTTAATAAAGAAACTAATTGAAGAGATGATAATGGGCACTTAAGATACTTTCTCTTCTAGACAAAGATCTGTGTCCTTCAGATGCATAAAAGAAAGAGGAACAAGACAGAAATGTTTCACCATAAAGAGCAACAACAACTTCTAATTCTTGGGACTTTGAGTACAAACATTTTCTGTGTGCTAGATGCTGAGGTCTCAACTTTTTCAAAAGCTAACCTTTGTTGTAACAAACTAAATTACAATGATCTGGTTTAAGGATCCTTTGGCCTCTGGCTTTTTTGTTCTCCATCCCAAAACCCCTTTGGTCTCTCACTGCAGACATGTGGTCACACAATACTCCACTCTACTCCTTCACTCAGGTTTCAAACTCTCAGTGCCTCTCTTGTACTCTATTTAAACCTTTTCCTCTCTCTCATTTCCACTGAGCAACATCTTCCTCCTCTTCTTTTCCATCTCTTTATAGTACCCAACTCCTCCTGTTTCACTGTTAACCACAGAATTTAAAACCTTTCATTACATCTCACTGCCCACGGGATAAATTCATCAACCAAGTATCATTTGAAAGGCCTCCAAAGTGTAAATCCCAACTACTTTTCCAATTCCTGTAAATTCCACATTCTATATTTCCATACCCCAAGAAGAGTCTTGTAAGATACTTTACCTGAAACAATACCCTCACTTAGGAAAAAAAGATTACTTCTAGGGTTGCTAAATACTTATTTCCACTTGCAATCAAGTTTGAAATTTACCTTATTTACGGAAGAAGGAGGAGAAGGAGAAGATGAAGAAGGTGGTGACTGGCTGAAACTTTCAACACAACCAATCTGAGTCAAAATATCCACCTTAAAATAAAAAAGGTGCTCAATGAACAGGGGTAAAAAAAGTATACCAAAGCTTTGAACTAAAAACAGTAAATTCATGGCAGGATTATATTATCCCTAAAGTTCTAGCATGCCACTCACTCACAGACATCACATGCAGAAAGCCCCAACTGTGCAGTAATGGTTATCTTCAGTGAATTATATTCTTTAAGTCTGTTGCTTGGTATCACAATACAGTATCGCTGAAGCACTAAAAATATTCATAAGCAGCAAAGAAGGTATGAAACAAATATCATGCAAGTTGTATAGCCAATGAAACAAAGGCCAGAGAAAAAAATACAGCCAAGCTTTTAAAAAATGTTAAGATGTTGAAACTTTAGCTTTCAAAGGCACTAGACATGTGAGAGAGTTCAGCCAAAATAAGCAAAGTCACCTCGTCAATTCAAAGCTACCCAGAGCCACAAGTGAGTCCTACCAACCCAGTGGTGAACAGCAGAACATCCCACCCCATCTGTGAACTCAGGAGTGAAAGTAACAGTCTTCTGGTGTGTGCTCCTGAGGTGCTGACTGGCTGGCTACACAGCATCTCAGTTAGAAGAGATGACAGATATGCTCCCAAAAACAACAATGCCTAAATCACAAAACAGTTGATAAGAGGCCAACTCTGAGTTCAACTTCAGCTTTCAATCCCAGTTCCACGACTGGTCAGCAGGGAAGTCAGCACTATTAACATTTATGTTGTGTTATGGGAATGTCCCTTTCAATGGCAACTCCCTTGTGAAGTAAATGGTGGTATCATCCTCATTTTATAGATGTAAATTAATTAATTCACAAAGCAGACAATCAAGATGGAGTAACAGGGACCCAGTTTATGGCCCCACTAAAAATACAACAAAATACATGAAACTGTAGTAAAAATCTTTGGACACCAGGCAATGAAGATAGCAGGGTAGGCCATACAACGGCCGTTGGTTACTGCCTGGAGAGATTCTCTAGGCCATGCATAAGAGCTGGGGAGCCACACAAAGCCCAGTAGTCTCTGTAACTGGAGGGGGCAGAGCTGGAGTCTGGGGAAGAGTACTGGAGAAGACAGAGCTGCAGAGAGAGCCCCGGGGTTCTAACGGAGGGTACCACAAGCCTGCTGCTGAGTATAGATCAGCACATCAAGTGAGGAAACTACACAATGTCAGGGAAAGAACCATCTGCAAGAATTAAGTGGGCAATCCCTCACACAAGGCTGTTTCTCCCAGCCAGAATGGAAGACCTCATAATTCTTTTTTTTTAAGACCTCATAATTCATGGAGCATTAAGTACAATACCAAAAAGGGTTTTGCTTCAGTAGAGGGGTAAAAATATCCCTCTATCAAACGTTGCTCTAGTTCTACTTACAAAAGTTTAAAAATAAAATCTGAAAGAATTAGACTGTGTCAAAGTAATTTAAGTGCATCCCAGAACAAGGCTGAAAAATATTTATGGGAATGCAAAAATATTCAGCACATAACTAAAAATCACAATGTTTGGCATCCAGTAAAAAAATTACCAGGAAAAAGAAGCAGGATAATATGACCCATAATGAAAAAAAAAAAGTAATCAATCTAACTTTTAGTCATAACACTGATGACAGAATGAGCCATATTTAAGACCAAGAAAGCTTTCAAATGTCAATAAGGTAAAAGAACCAGCTTGGCTGGGCTTCCAAGGGATGATGACTAAGCACAAAGGAAAAAGCAAATTTAAGTACATGTGTCCATATATTACTTAAAAAAGAAAGACAGGAAAGCACATTTGTCACTATTTGAAGCAGCTATAAAACATCTTCTTACTTTGCAAATCAGCAATTAAAGAGAAAGAATTAAACATGCATTCTGAATTCCAATAGAAATTAGAATTCAAGATAGTTAACTAGCTCCAGTTGATGAAGGAAAGATCTACTTTATAGAAGAAAGCTAGTTTAGTAAATGTGTAAGGAATAACGTTATTGATAGTAGCAGGATTATTAAGCAGTGTTAAGCCATTACAGGAATGGTCAGTGGTGCTAAATTAATACCAGATGGCTGCTTCTGTCCAAAAGAAGAAAACATACAATACAACGGAGGCAAGTCTGTCAGGAATCAAACCCAGGGGTTGTTTTGATCAGTCACAGTAAATCTTCTGATGTGATAAAACATGAAATATACGGTATCATCTATGATACATTCTTGTCCCAAATGCTCAATTTGAGTTCATTTGGTATAATTTCCAATTCATAGGGAATACAAAGGATAAAGGAGCAACTTAAACAATACCACAGCCAGGCTTGGTGCCTCAGACTATAATCCCAGCACTCTGGGAGGTCAAGGCAAGTGGACTGCCTGAGCCTGTGGGTTTGAGACCAGCCCGGGCAACTTGGTGGGACCTTGTCTCTATAATAAATAAATAAATAAATAATTAGCATGGGCACGGTAGTGCACACCTGTAGTCCAGCTACTTGGAAGGCTGAGACAGAAGGATCACTGGAGCCCAGCAGGTTGATGCTGGGGTGGCCATGAGCATGCCACTGCACTCTAGTCTGGGCAACAGAGTAAGACTTCAATTAAAAAAAAATACCACAAGGAAACAACTAGACAAATTCAGGAGACAGGAAATCTACAGGACAACTGGCTAAGTCTGAATTTTAACTCTTTGCATTCAGAGACATCTTACAGATCACCTACCAGCAACTTGACTGCACTTTTTTACAAAATAGTCAAAAACAAATCACTTCGTATTAAATAGTACAGCATTGGAACCAATTATTTTATTGTAATGATAGTTGGCTTATAATGACACTTTGGACATTGAGGAACTTATTTATGGCAAAAAAAATCATAATTTTATATGTTCTGATGTGTGGTAACATGTGAAACAGTCATCGACATGCATTGCAGGGTCACTGATATGTGTTGTGCAACAGTAATTTGTTTGATGTCTTCCACCTGGTGATTTTCTATTCGAGCAGACAATGCAGTCTCATTTTCTTCCTCTCACATTAATAATATGCAATTTATTGTCCCATCTGTTGTTCAAAGATGACGTGGAAGAATGCACTCAAGAATCATGAAAATCACTTTTCAACTGATCAATCAGAAGATTGGCAAATTTCAAATGTGACATAGGTTTTCACTGTGTTTGAATGGAAACCTTCAAGGAAACATACATTTTGAAAAATCTGTGTTTGCATAAGTTTGTCCTATATACTCACGAGCAATCTCTTTATGTCCTAAGAGAGGACGGCCGAGTGGTCTGCTAGATAATTGATGTCCCTAAGAGGGGATGTTTGAGTGCAAAGGGCTAAACTTTTTTTTTACAGTAGGGAACGTGCTAGAAAAAAAGATACAAAGAGATATGTTTAAATGTAATGCTTGGGTCTAACTTAGCTTGGATCCTAGCTCAGAAACATGCTGTAAAGATCATTCTGGGTCAGCTGGGAAAATTTAAATTGGTCTGGATATTAGGTGAGAAGAAAATTTACTGTAAGGAAAAAGTAAAGATTATTAACTTTAAAAGGTTACAAACAGTATTTATACTATATATGATCTCATTCTGGTTTTATACATATAATTTACATTTATGTCTGTATGTTTGTGTGTATACCCATTTTCACACAAAGAAAGTAAGATACACATCAAGGTGAGTGATCACGAGAATGTGATGCTTTTCTTTTCACTAGCTTGAATTTTCTAATTTTCTACAATGTGTATACACTGTTTCTGTAACAATAAAAGGTTATTTTAAACACTGCTTTTTAAAGAAAGTAAGAACACTAATCAGTAATCGAGGATTCTGGTTTTGTTATATTTTGCTATTTTCTTGTATTTTGCTTCTCATATGACAACCTTAAGGAACCTGGGCCAGTAAAAAGTAAACTTCTCCAGTCCGGGCAAATTGGCAGGCAAGACCTCGTCTCTACAATTAAAAAAAAAAAAAAAAAAAAATTAGCCAGGCACGGTGGCATGCGCCGGAAGGCTGAGGCAGAAGGATCACCAAAGCCCAGCAGGTTGACACTGGGGTGGCCATGAGCATGCCACTGCACTACAGCCTGGGTGATGGAGTGAGACTCCAACTTAAAAACAAAAAAGAAAAAGCAAACTCCTGCTTCTGAAAACAAAAAATGCAATGAACAGGGCAAGGGCTGGTTTGGATAACATGGTAGTACATAACTCAATTCCCTGATTTCCCAGTAAGCAGAGAAATCATGGTCTAAGAGGAATAACTCTCTCCACACGGACCTTAGGAACAACTGGGGAAAAGACAGGACCGCAACAGCTACCATGACTTTTCTCTGTTCAGGATACTGTTTGGCTTTCTACCAAACCAGAGTTCAAAGGTATACAAAAGATGCCAATGAGTGGCCACAGCTCCCATGGCCCACCTAATTCCTTACAGCAGACACCTAAAGTTCAGTCACTAACTCCATCTGATAAATACACCAGGTAAGAGGCGTTCCCAATCACAGGGGGAGAGGTCATGTAGACATTCAAGGGTCCACCTTATCACAAAGATATTCTTACTGAGCCAGTCACATCCTTCCACACTTTATCTGTGATTCTGACGTTTAGTCTGTCATGCCATGGCCCATCATACAACTACAACCTAATATGAGGTTTCCTGCTTGGAAGAAAAGAAGTAAAGGAAACAGAAAAGAATGTGGTAAATGGAAACTTCCAGGGCCAAACTTTTTCCTAGTATACAACAAAAACGAATGGAAAGTTATCATTTGTCATAAGGTTGAGATTTCTTTTCTTTCTTTTTTTTCTGTAACTCATCTGCATGACTAAGAAAAAGTCTGTATTGGACATTTCCCATTCACCAAACATTTAATAACTATAACAACACATGTATCCACTGTGTTAGGAACTAGAGATAGAAAGCAAATAATACCTGATTCCTATAACCAAGAACATTTCAACCACAATTTCTGACAAAGACTTAGGTCTTTTTCTTGAAAGGGCTGAAGAGGTTATACAATGCTCTTATATGAAAAGTCTTAGCCCTTTTAGCTCAAAATACAGAGGAACCTGTAAAATTTCCTATTTTGCTCTTTATATATCTTTAGCTCAAAGGACATGATCAATTCTACAGATGAACCTCTAGTGACTTTAGAAAACCACTAATGGAAATATAAAACGTATATATTCTTGTAAAAATGAAGGTAGATCACAAAAACAGACTAAATCTATTTACAACCAGTCAGTCACATTAATACTGACTAGGAATTACCCAAAAAAGTTAAACTTATTTAACAATTTCCTTGTTAACTCTCACATTCTAAACCCACCGATGTCAATTTCAGTTATTTATTTTTTAAATGAAGAGAAT